ATCCAAGGCCCCCTGCTTCGTGATGGATTGACACAGAGTCAGGTGCTGGGCATTATTCTACTGATTTCAGAAGAGTAAGAGCCGAAATGAGGGATACAGGACTCCAGGTGGCTCTTCAAAATGCAGTTTATTGTATCCAAGGCATTATAGCAGTCCAGGGTCACAGGCGACAGAGCCTGTGCCCACAGCTGTCAGCTCCAGCTGCAGCAGGCCTGCAGACCCACATCCCTCATTCAGGCTCTTACTAACGGTGCCCCACGTTGGGCGCCACAGTAAGAGCCAGAATGAGGGACGCAGGACTTCAGGCAGCTCTTCAAAATGGAATTTATTGTATCCAAGATGTTACAGCAGTCCAGGTTGTGGGTGGCAGAGTCTGTGCATGCAGCTGTCAGCTCCAGCTGCAGGCAGTCCTGCAGAAACACATCCCTCATTCAGGCTCTTACTAATGGCGCCTCACGTTGGGCGCCACTGTAAGAGCCAGAATGAGGGACGCAGTACTCCAGGCGGCTCTTCAAAATGGAATTTATTGTATCCAAGATGTTACAGCAGTCCAGGGTCGTGGGTGGCAGAGCCTGTGCCTACAGCTGTCAGCTCCAGCTGCAGACAGGCCTGGAAACCCTTAGTTTAGGCTACAATGCATTATATACCTTAATTTTGGTTACAATGCATTATATACTTTGCTGAGCATCTTAATACAGCAGAACCAATCTATACCTTAACTTTTACCTATAGCCTATCATAACTACTATAATTACGATATTCATGTCACTGTTCTCCAGCCATTAAAAGTTAGTACATTACAGTTTAAGCTAGAAGTTGTTTTTCAGTTTTTTTGCAGTGGAAAATTCTGGGACCTTTTTTCTACATTGACAATCTTGTTTGCCTGTGCTATTTTTCCGCTTGGTAAAACATCTTGTTTGAGGTGGGTTTATCCTTTGCTCTAAGCCATAAAAATCCTTCTAACTCACACACCCTTTGGCTCCTTGGTTATCCAGTAGGACTGGCTCAGCAATTCTTTTCTTCTAGATCAAAACTTGCTTCCATCTCTATTACTTCTTCAGATTCTACAGGTTCAAAAAATCCTTCTGCTAAGCATTCATATCTGTTAGACTTTCTTGTCAAATTTTCATCCTTCCCAACACAGTATGTTCCCATAATGATTCACTTGCTCCACTTCCTTCTACAAACGAGCTCATGATATAACAATTAGCTTTAGCTTAAGCATCTAATAATCATTAACCTATCGTTGGTGCATCTAACTTCAACATGAACTAGTTCTAATCCTCAGCTAAAATCTTAACCCTTTAAAGTTATGATTCAACACGAGCATCTACATATGGACAGGATCCCAGAGGCCATCCCATCCCATCCCATCCCATCCCATCCCATCCCATCCCATCCCATCCCACTCCCTCTCTCTTCCAGAGAAACAGGTGTTCCAGCTGCGAGCCCACATGTACCAAGCCAGGAGTTTGTTCGCAGCCGACAGCAGCGGCCTCTCGGATCCCTTCGCTCGGGTCTTCTTCATCTCCCAGAGCCAGTGCACGGAGGTGAACATTCCTGGGATTCCTGGGGGTGTGGGGATGGCTGGCTCTGCAAGTTCCCGTGGCACAGATCCCATCAATGAGGATCAGGCTGGTCCTGGGCTCCTGTGGTGGGAGGAGCCCAGCAGCTCTGGAACTGGGCACTGTTGGTTTCCAGGAGATCTCTCCCCAGGAGCACATTCCCAATTTATGTCCCACATCCTGGTGGCTGCAATTCCCCATAATTCTCTATGATTCCTTGTGATTCCCAGTGATTTCCTGCCAGTTTAGGCAGAACTGGGTCATATTAAAGTGATTTTTTTAGTCTTCCCTTCCCAGTCCGAGGGTTGCCAAGCTTTAGGAAGCCTGGGAATAACCCAGCTCTGCTCATCTGCAATTGGATTTTCTTCCTCAGAAGAATCCCCGGGTGATTCCAAATCCAAAAAACACACAGTAACCCTACCTGCCACCCTTTCCCAGGATCCTGGTCCATTCCTGGAGCAGTAGGAATCTCTCCCATTTCCCCAGGTTCTCAACGAGACCCTGTGCCCGACCTGGGACCAGCTCCTGGTGTTCGACAACGTGGAGCTGTACGGGGAAGTTCACGAGATGCGGGATGACCCTCCCATCATTGTCATCGAGATCTACGATCAGGACACTGTGGTGAGAAAATCCCAGGGAATTGTGCGTGGTTTGGATGCCAGGATCTCTCCAGTTTTGGAGGCAGAGGATTTGGGGAGTTTTTCCCTGATCCATGGAGAATGCTCCTTCCAAATCTCCCACGGAGCCTCTACTGCTCATGAATCTCAGACGAATCTTGTTTTTGGAGAGGGAAGAAAAAGGCTGTAGCCAAGGAGGGTTTCCATTTGGGAAAAGTGCTCATCCCTGGTCTCCTTGCTGTCCCAATCTTCAGCTGTCCCAAACCTCCTTCAAGGAGTCAGGACTGAAAGTTTTCCCCGAGTTTTGGCATCCCAAGGCCAGAGTATTGTTCCCATTCCTGTTTCAACCACGATGGAGAGAATTGCAGGGTTAATTTGGGATTTTTGTGCTGGATCCCCAATCCCAAGTGCCCTGGAGGAGAACCACAAGGCAAATTTTGGAATTTTCATGCTGGATCCCCAAACCCAAGTGCTCCGGGGCAGATTCACAGGGCTGATTTTGGAATTCCCATGTTGGATTCCCAACCCCAAGTGCTTTTGGGGAGAACCATGGGGCTCAATTTGGAATTCCCATGTTGGATCCCCAACTTCAAGTGCTCCTAAGGAAAACCACAGAGCTAATCTTGGCATTCTCATGCTGGATTCCCAATCTTAAGGGCTCCTGGGGAGAACCATGGGGTTAATCTTCAAATTCCCATGCTGGAACCCCAACACCAAGTGCTATTGAGGAGAACCACGGGGCTAAATTTGGAATTCTCATGTTGGACCCCCCAACCCCAAGTGCTCCTGGAGAGAACCATGGGGCTACTTTTGGAATTCTCATGTTGGATTCCGAACCTCAAATTCTCCTGGAGAGAACCACAGGGTTAAATTTAGAATTCCCATGTTGGAACCTCAACCCCAATGGTTTTTTCCCTAGGGAAAAGCCGACTTCATGGGCCGGACGTTTGCCAAGCCGGTGGTGAAGATGTCAGATGAGGAGTACTGCCCGCCACGCTTCCCACCGCAGCTGGAATATTACCAGATCTACCGCGGCAACGCCACAGCCGGAGACCTGCTGGCTGCCTTCGAGCTGCTCCAGGTGCCAGTGGGACAAAGGGATGGGAAAGAATGGATGTAGGGTTGGAAGGGAGAGGGGTTAACTTACAGAGAATTGGGTAACTGAATAACCAGGAAAAACTGCCCCCCTATTCGCCTGGTCATTGGTCTGCTGGACCCTTGTATTTCCCCTTGGATGATCAACCACTTGTTGCTCATCAAAGACACCTGGAAAGGTCCAAGGCCAGGTGGGATGGGGCTTGGAGCAGCCTGGAAAGGTGGCATGGACTTTAAAGACCATTGAATTCCAACCTCATGGCAGGGGGTGGAATTCAATGGTCTTTAAAGTCCCTCCCAGCCCAAACCATCCCATGATTCATAGTCTGGGGCAATACCAGAGTTAAATTCTTCCACTTTTGTGCCATGTGCTCCACCCACTGAAATACTTTTCCCACCTCCTATTTTTTTTTGCCTGGGCAGGTGCTCATCCAAGCCTTTTCCTTCTAGTTTTCCTCGGACTGAGGGAATAGCTCACCTGTGATATTTGATCTTTACTGAGCCCTGGGCTGGAAATGGGACCTTAAACCTGCGCTGGGTTGAGCTCTAGGACCACATTTCCATTTCCTCACACACAGCCCAGCAGATGCAATTCCAGGGTGGAACAGCCCTGGGATGGGCTGCATTGGTGGGCTGAGAAGTTTGTATAGTATAGAATAGAATAGTATAGAATAGTTTGTATAGTCCCCAGAATAGTCTGGGGACTATTCTGTGTGCAATTCCCAGCACCTTCTGCTCCTGTGTTTTCCTCTTCCCAAAGCACCTGCCCTGGGCTCTCAGCCCTCTGAGACACCCCAGATCAAACAACTGGAACCAGATGATCCAGCTGAGACATGGCCAAACTCCCTCTGGAATCAGTGCCAGGGTTTGGAATGAGCTGATATTTGAGATCCCTTCCAACACAAACCAATCTGTGATTCCACAATTCTGTGAGAAGGACCAAAAACTGCTTCCCAGCAGCTCAGAGGAGCAGATCCTAACCCGTGATCCACCTCTTCCAGATCGGCCCTGGGGGTAAATCAGACCTGCCCCCCATCGACGGCCCCACGGACATGGACCGAGGTCCCATCCTGCCGGTGCCTCTGGGAATTCGGCCGGTGCTGAGCAGATACAGAGTGGAGGTAACCAATGTCCTGCCTGGGGCAGGAGAATATCTCCAGGGGTTTTGGAAGGGCAGGAGGGAACTGGGAGTCAAGGATCTGTCTGTGGTGGCTGTTCTGGGAACCAGGCTGCAGCATCCCTAAAAAATACAGGAAACTCAGGGAATTGGATCATTCCTTGCTGTCAAACCTGGGCTGGACAGTGAGTGAGCAGCACCTGGGCTGAGATGCAGCTCAGGGAATGTTAGAGATGGACATGGAGCTGGATCATCTGCTCCCAAAGTAATCCCATAGCTCAGGTGTTCTCCGTCCCATCAACCTCAGGAAAAAAGGATGGGAAGACTCTTGTGTATCCATGGGTATCTAAAGGGGGATTTTGTATCCAAAATAGTGTGGGCACAATGCAGGGCAGCACCAATCCCCTGTGCTGGCACTGCTGGGGCACCTCCAGTGCTGGGGGCAGCTCTGGGCCCCTCCTGATAGGAGAGACCTGGAGGGGCTGGAGCGTGTCCAGGAAAGGGCATGGAGCTGGGAAGGGAATGGAGCCCCAGGAGGGGCTGAGGGAGCTGGGAAGGGAATGGAGCCCCAGGAGGGGCTGAGGGAGCTGGGAAGGGAATGGAGCCCCAGGAGAGGCTGAGGGAGCTGGGAAGGGAATGGAGCCCTAGGAGGGGCTGAGGGAGCTGGGAAGGGGCTCAGCCTGGAGAAAAGGAGGCTCAGGGGGGACCTTGTGGCTCTGCACAAATCCCTGACAGGAGGGGACAGCCAGGGAACAGGGACAGGACAAGGGGAAATGGCCTCAGGCTGGGCCAGGGCAGGTTGGACATCAGGAGGGATTTCTGCATGGAAAGGGTGGTCAGGTCTTGGCAGGGGCAGCCCAGGGAAGGTTTGGAGTGCAAGTGCCCATCCCTAGAGGTGTCCAAGGAAGGCCTGGATGTGGCACTCAGTGTTCTGGGCTGGGGACAAGGTGGGGACAGGTCACAGGTTGGACTCAATGATCCTGGAGGCCTTTTCCAGGATTTCCATGATTCTGTGATGTGTCCCTTGGAGATCCTGGTGGCCATCCATGACCCAGGCAATGCCCACAGAGGTGTTCAGGGCACATCTCAGCCCTGGGTGAAAGTGTCTCTGCTCAGGTGAGGTGCCACTGACCAGGTCTCCAGATAGATTTTGGCCCTGGTTTTCCGCACGTTTGCATCACAATAAATGTTTCTCACAATTTTAATACAGCCATGGGGAATAAGGAGGTAGGGAAAATCTCAGTTTTGGGGAATTTTGGATGATGGCAGTCTGTTATCCCAGGTAGGGATAGGGAAGTTTCCTCCATGACACTGATCCCATAGGGAAAAAGTGATGGCAGTGCTGGATCCAGAACCACCACAGATGGACAGAGCTGGATTCCCAGGGCAGGAAAAGGCCAGGAAAGGAGAAAAGCAGGAAAAAGCCGAGGGCAGCGGGATGGAGACGTTGGGCTGCGGGGTGTCAGGAGGAGACACCTCAGGGATCCACCACTGTCCTGTGATGACATCAGCAGTGGGATCCTTTTCCATGGAGAACCAGTTCCCAGGGATCATCCCTCTCACATTCACATGCTCCCTCCTCCTCCTGCCCTAGATCTTGTTCTGGGGGCTCAGGGACCTGAAGAGAGTGAACCTGGCCCAGGTGGACAGGCCCCGTGTGGACATCGAGTGTGCCGGGAAGGGCGTCCAGTCTGCCCTGATCCAGAATTACAAGAAAAACCCCAACTTCAGCACTTTGGTCAAGTGGTTCGAGGTGGTGAGTGTGGCCCTTCCCTCTGATCCCTCAGCTGGAACCCAGAATTTCTGGAGCCCACCATGGCTCCAAGCCCTTTACTCCAGTTTTCCCAAAACAATAGAGCACACGGACACCATTCCTTTACCTGAGAGCTCCCAAGCCACATATTTCTGGAGCAGCTCAGGGCTTCTTCCTTCAGCATGATCCCAGTTCTGGTCCCTACTGCCCTTCCCAGCATGATCCCATTCCTAATCCTTACTGCCCAGCAAGATTCCATTCCTAATCCCTACTCCCCAGTATGATCCCATTCCTAATCTCTACTGTTTTTCCCAGCATGATCCCATTCCTAATCCTTACTGCCCTTCCCAGCAGGATCCCATTCCTGATTCCTATTGCCCTTCCCAGTATGATCCCATTCCAAATCCCCACTTTCCCTCTGAGCATGACCCCATTCCTAATCTCTACTGTTTTTCCCAGTCTGATCCCATTCCTAATCCCTACT